ATAGTTTTTTTGGACTATGTGTTTTGTTTCTTGTTTGGATATTGGGAATAGGCTTGATATATAGTGTTATTTATAGGAGATTGTTATGAGGAAAAATGATAATATTGAAGAAATTGAGAATGATGTAAAAGAATTGCCAACTAGCCCATAAGCAACCTTTTTTTTAATCATGCTAACGGACTTACCGTGAGAAAGAAGGAAAGGTGTTCCATAAAGTTTCAAAATCAAGTAATCGCGTATTATAGTTTTGAATAATTCATAAAGTTTGTAAATAGGAATTGTTCTACTTACATTACGAACTAACTAAGGCTACGTTTGGGAGTTTCGTGCAGTTTTTAAATATATATGCTTTCTTTTTTTGTGTGTGAAAAATTTTAAGTTTTCATGTCTTTCTACGAAGCATTGATACCAATACGAGACACGGGTACCGTACAAAAAGTTAATTGTTTTGGTTTTAAAAGTTAATTGTTTAATCATACAAAAATAAAAGCATACAAATGATCACATATGAAATGTACTAAGAGTATTTAGTAATAGAAACCTACTAGTACAACACTCGTGTAATACACGGATGATCAAAAGAAATTATGTTTCACAAAAGGTAGAACTAACAATAATTTACATAATAATTTAAAAAATAAAGATAAAAAATAAATAATAAAATAAAAACAGAAATTGTAAAATAAAAGGTAGAACAACAATAATTTACATAATAATTAATGAAGACGCGCAAGCATGATCCATGATCCATGATCCATGATTATATATTGAACATTCAATAACAAAATAGATTATCTATAAAAAATAGACTAATTTAATTTATTGCAAATAACTTTGCTTGAACATTAAAATAGCTTTTAGTAAAGTAAGAAACTAAGGGCGTGATTGTATATGAATTGTACAGTAAATATCTCAATCAAAACTCAAATTTAACTCTATTTTAACTCAACTCCATTATCTCTAATATTATCAGTATAATTAAATAATATCAATCAATCATTATTACACATCACATCAACTTTAATTCACTATTCATTCACTCACATAATTTTAACTAACCATCACTTCCAATTATTTTCTCCTACTTTTAATCAAATCAACTTTAATTATTTTAATTTAAATATTGTTTTAATATATTCACTAACAACTAACTATACTACTTTTTTTTAAACTTACTTATAGTTAAAAAATAACCAATTTTTTACTAGTTGAATTCATATCCAATCACTCTCTAAATTCTCCACCATTTCAGAATTCACAGTTTTTACTTTTATTTTTAAATTATTGTCTGTATTTAATATCCCTAAATTTGTCTTCACGTCAGCATTTNCTTTCTAATTAGATACATATATTTTGAATTAAATATCCACATTTTTCAGATATACTAACCTCTTTTATTCTTATATATTTGATAAATTATATACTAATCATGTTTAGACGATCTTTAATTTAATATATGCAAATAAAACTAATTATTTATATATGATGAAATATTCTGTATGTCAATACTATTGAAAATAATGAACGAAGTTAATCTTACATCATAAAATAAATTATAAATATGTCCAAATAAATCTTATTTAACTTACAATATAACATAAAATAAAATTACTTTTCTACATATATGTCAATTGGGTTCGAAAACATTAATTATGCTAAAACAATATACAAAAAACAGAACGATTATTCAAAGAATTGTATGACTTAAAATAATCCCCTCTATATATAATTTCAGAATGCGCTGAACCTACGTGGCAAACTCTCATGCTTTGGAATCCTATTTGGCAAAAAATCACGCTTTGGAGTTAGACTTTGATATAAATTAATATTTTTTATTTGTTAATTTAATAGTTTAGTTTTGGAAGAATAAACCATTAATGAGATTGTGATTTGCTTGTCCTTTTAATCTCGTCACTCTCTTTCTTCTTTCTTTTGTGTTTTTTATTCCAAATTTTTTATTTTCTCTAATTTCTTTTGTGAATGAATCGGGGTTTTTTTTTCCTGAAAGTTTTTGTGTTTTTTTATTTGTTTTTTGTTTATGATTGTTAACTGTTTGGATTGTGTATGCCTGGTTATTATTGTGTAATATTTTTCTTAAATTGTGACAGTTATAAAATTTTCCCATTTGCTAGAGCCAATAATTTATCTAATTGGTATGTTGTCAATCTAATAAAAATAAATAATTATTTATCTAAATTCTAAAATTACATATAAAGTTAAAAAACTGTGAAGCACAACTGATACGAGACTTAGATGTATTAAGCATCTAATTAAGTAAAAAAAATAATTTATTTTGCTTAATATCAAATAAATATATTCTACACTTATGTATATACATATTACCATATTATTTCTATTTATTTAAGATATATATTTTTGTACTTATGTAATAGTAAAGAATATCGATATTTTTATATGATATATGCAAAAAAATTCAACACGGGTGTTTAATTATTATGATTAAAAAAATATAATTTGACAATTTAATTAAAACTCAAAGTAATGTTTTATATAAAATTAAATTATAAAATATTTAATATTTTTTACAAAAGCTTTCTAATTCAAAATATTTAATATTTTTTACAAAAGTTTTCTAATTCAACACCCGTGTAATACACGGCTATTGTACTAGTTCATATTAAATGGCATTTTATCATATTTAAGCATTTTATTATATTTCTATCACATTTCACTCGTACATCGAAAACCTTAGTTCTCATATGTACAAAATAATGTGTTTGTTTCATGAGTAACTAATAAAAAAGATAATTTATAATAATAACAAAAAAAATATATATATATAAATATTTGTTCCTGACGTATATAAACTCTCTCTCTATATATATTGTTTCGCTATCCGAAATTTATATTTTAATATTTCCATTGTACATTCACTTAAGTTAGACCTTCAATACTTGATAATGGTAGCTAAAAGACTAATTTAAACAAACCTCTTTATTCCATCACAAACACAAGGTAACAAATTCAAGGGTCCAAGACTTTACTTGCCCCTATTAGGTTTAAATTCAAGGGTCCAAGACCTTCAATACTTAATAATAATGGTAGCTAAAAGACTAATTTAAACAAACCTCTTTATTCCAAACATTTAGAAAAAACACAACACAAACACAAATACGACCATTTTTCGGTCGATCAAACACCAAACTCAACGGCCTCAAACAAACTGTGCATATCAATAATGAAACATAGTAATATTATAATGAAAAAACGCGTCGCCAGACGTGGTATTAATCGACACCGTATTCACCCCAATGTGTCCACGCGCCAACAGGAAATCTCCCATCCCGCCATTATCGACATTTCTCGATAGTTCTGCAGGTAAGGATTTCTTCCCTGCACATTGAGCGTGCTCCCATTATACTCTCCACCCGTAAAAAAGAGGTCGAATGTCATGTGGATGCTTGTCTCCTTTATTGAGGCGAAGGTAAACATCCCTTGGCCCGGCCCACGATCTCGGCATCCAGACTGGGCCCAATTCTCACTGGGTCATCCAGCACGGCGACAAGCCCAAAAAATGTCGGTGAAGTGGGGGTGGAATTTGCCATGGCAACGTTTATAGGAAGCATGTCTCTTGAACATACAATTGTAGTTGAGTCATTGTTTCCCCACTTGGAAAATTTTGTAAGAACCTTTTTTTGGAGGCAAAGCCATTGGCTTGAGACATTATCATTAAAAGTTTGAATTGATTTTCCAAATTTGTCATTCTTAGGACACACTTTGGAAATTTTTCTTGGTTTGATTGTGATTTTGGGAATGGGCACAAATTAAAGGGTTATTTATAGTTGATCATGAAGTACATGATAGCTAAGAATGATAGTTAGGAATAGGAAATATTGCTCTTGTGAATAAAAGTTTTATGGCATGATTGGTATGATGGAATGAAATTTGGTAGGAATGAAATGAATTGAAAAATGGAATGATTATGGGAATGGAATGAAACATGCTTTGTCATTGATGCGTTTGGTATGCAGAATGAATAGGACTGGAATGGAATGACATTATTATTTTTTATTATAAAAATAAATAAAAACTTTTTTTAAAAAATAATAAAATTTTAATAAATTATAAATGCTTTTTTAATAATATATAAAAATAAAATAAACTATTTTCAATAATATATTTTAATAATATATAAAAATAGAATAATATATTGTTTAATAATATAAAAATAATATATTTTTAATAATATCTAAAAATAAAATAATATATTTTTTAATAATATATAAAAATCTAATAATATCTAAAAATAAAATAATATATTTTTCAACCATATATAAAAAATATATATTCTTAAAAGTAATATATTTTTAATATATAAAAAATAATATATTTTAAATAATATTTAAAAATAAAAAGTAATATATTTTTAATAATATCTATTTTATTTTTTAATTAAACAGTAAATAAAAGTAAGTTTTTAATTTTTATTTGAATTTTATTTTTTAAAATAATATATTTTTAATAATATTTAAAAATAAAGTAATATATTTTTAATAATATATACTTTTAATATTTTTTTCAATAATATATTTTTATTAATATATTTTTAAAAGTAATATATTTTTAATATATAAAAATAATATATTTTTAATAATATATAACAATAAAATAATATATTTTTAAATTATATATAAATGCTTTTTTTAGTTTTATTTTTATATAAGTATTTAATATATCTAATTAAAAAATAAATAAAAGTAAGTTTTTAATTTTTTTCTTTGAATTTTTTTTAAAAATAATTTTATTTAATATATCTTAATCATGATTTATGTTATATATTATATATTTATTTTTTATTATTATTTGTTAATTTTATTTTTTAAAAAATTGATTCCTACACACATGGGAATGAGAAAACCTTACATTTACTATGAAATTGTTAATCCCATGGAGATGGATTTTGCCATTCCCATTGAAATGGTCATTCCTTCCAATAAATATACTAATCATGGGAATAAGAATAAGGAAGGGAATGATCATTCCATTCTCATGTCATTCTTTCATACCAATCATGCCATACTGTATAACACCTTTGACAATGGTGACATTTCATGTTATGAGCAGATATATTTTTATTTAAAAAGTATGGCTGCTTAAATAAAATTGCAAACTTTGACAAATTAGAATAGAGTGGAATTAAATATCTATACTTATATTAAAAGGTATACCATTTACCAGATTTAGTATAAAGAAAAGTCAACAACATTTATTGTATTACTATTTCCGTACTATACAATCTATACTTATATAAAAGGAGATTCTATTTACTATATTTACTATCCAGAAAAGTCAACTGCATTAAATGTCATTACTATTTTGGTATTATAATATTTAATTTATTTATTTGTTTTATTTTAAAAAGGTAAGTATAACAAAAAGATTTTAATAATAAAAAAATCAAATACCAAACAAAAATGTATACTTTGACTTATTTGGTTATATTTTATTTGATTATACCAAATGTATTCCTATTTAGTATATACATTAAATACTTACTAAAGTATTTATTTGTCAAAGTTAAGTATAGATTTGTTTATATTATCAAATCATAAAAAATATTAAATCCATATTGTAAAAAAAAATCATATAATTTTATAACAATTCTACTACAGTATTTAACAATATTTTTTTTATTATATAATAAAATAATAATTAAATATTATATGGTGAACAACAATAAGTAAAACTGTTACTTTCTCTTATATCAAGGGATAAATTTATATGCTAAAATTAATTTTTTTTAGTATAAATGTTTTAGTGAGATAATATATTAATTATTTTACAAGCTAGCCATGACATGCTCATATTTAATCTTTTAAAAGATGTAGAAAAAAAACTTATAATAACTCTATTATTTTTTAGACTTAAACGTTGATTAAAAGAGGTAAAAATTTCTTAATTTTTTAGACTTAAACGTTGATTAACACCATAGATTGAGAGTTTATATTTAGTAAAATTCTTAACTGTAATAAAAAAATTAATTTTTGCTATATTTTAGAATATCTTTAAATTCATTATAAAAAAAAAGAAAAAAAAACTACAATGAAAAAAGCAAGTCAGCTATATATCGATTTGTAGTACCCCTCAAATCACATTCACAATTTGGCTACAAGGAATGGAAACTCATTGATTAAAATATTATTTTGTCAGTTGTCTTAATGTACAAGAGACTTTAAGACTCCACTTGAATATTATAAAACTTTTATTGAACATTGTACAATTTTCTTGTGTATTATAAACTTTTATTGATTATTGCATCTTATAATATAATATTCTCCAAATAAATATATCTCGTGCTTTGCACGGGTCACGTACTATATATATCACATACATTTTTCTTTACTCATGTATCTAATTATAAGCCTGGATAAATAGCCTTAAAATTGTGCACCCCGTGCATCGCACGGGCTCTGTACTAGTAGGTATAGTAACTAGAGTTTTTGTCTAATTTTTCTTAAATGCATAAGTTTAGATTGATTTTAAATTATGTTATTTTCCTGGTGATCGTTTACTTAAGAGGTGATTGTTTTGTGTTTATAGCTCGACATCTTTCAATGTAGTTCATCTAAGAGCATCTCCAATGTGAGATGTTGACTTAATAAAATGTTAGCCACATCATCAAGTTATAAAGTGAAAACAAAAATTAATCTCCAATCCATAATGTTATGGACTCTTTTATGCTGACATGAAGACAATAAACATCCAAAGTGTGAAGCCCACTTTCTAGTTTTCTAAAGAGTGTTTGAAAGCTAACTCATAAAAAATCTAACATATTTTAAGCTTTTGAAAGGGATGCATTGGTGATGTGCATTCCAAGTTAAAGTCTTCTCTTTTGACATTCATATTACATGAATTTACATTCCATTCATCATTTGACATGTGTTCAAATTTAATTAATGTTCAAAGTGGAGCATTGGGATGCTCTTAAAAATTGACGTAGAGTGAATGTTAAAAAGTCAAAACAAAACTTTTGCACGCCTTAAGATATGCAACTAAGTAGTTCTATTTTATTAAACTCCGAATTTAACGTGCGAATAAACCTGCAAGCATGTTGACAATAGTTACTTATTGGATTGAAGCTTGTGATTGGATTTGCTGAATGGTCAATGTCAACGAGGCATCCGAATCCAAAATTGGTAATAAAACAAGTTCTATTATGTATGGCCTATTATTGTTTTGATAGGTGGTATGGATGTAAGAAGATTTATTTTTTTCGAAAATTATACTTTATATATTTTTTCATATATATATATATATATATATATATTTTTTTTTGAAAAATCCAAGTACTATAATCAGAGTTCAATAAATAGAAATCCTTGTTATTGATTTTGGTGAAAGCAAAACTCTTCTTTTTATTAGGTTTGAAAGAAAAAATTAAACATTCATTCAGATTTATTAACATTTTTGTAGCTAACTGTTTGTTTCTTATTTATCAAAAAAACTAATGTAAAAACTTAATTGTAGGGCTTTTAAAGCTTGATATATTAGATAAAAGTATTTTATACATTATAATTTAAATTTCATATCATCTTATGGAAAAATATTTTTAGAACATATACCCAAAAAATCATGTGAAAATATCTCAAAGTGAGTTACTTTTAGAACAAGTGTATATTTGAAGTGACTTCTGATATTGTTGAGACGGAAAAAAAATAATAAAAAATTCAACAATGTTACTGTAGAGCGATGTTGAACAATTAAAACTCATAAAAAATAACTATGAATGTATATTTTTGTATTTATAGTTTAATTATAATGTATTATATATGTTTATAAAAATAATTAGGCCCATATAGTTGGTGAAAAAACGAATAGTTCATTTATTTAAACTCTGAGTTTTACATGGGCAAAAACCTTCAAGCAACGTGGAAAATATAAAGTCTATATATATATAATAAGAATAACCATTTACTAAAAATAGTAACAAAAAGTAAGTCAAAATTTAATGCATCTTATAAATAGTAAGTTTCATTATTTTTTTTACTTTGTTCTTTAAAATCATACAACATTAAGTGCTACCTTAAATTTTGGGCTTTAGTTAATTTTATTATTTAAAATTCCGGCTAAGATTTATTATGTGTGCATGTTTTTATTTTTAATTTTTTCTTAGAAACAACGAATAACATTAAAATATCGGTCTTTATATTTATGAAATCTCAATTGAAAATATAACAAAAGTTTTAGAATCTCGGTCTTTATATTTGTTCCTTTAAAAAAATATTGAATGCTAAAAATATTCTTTAAATTGCTTAATCAATAAATTAATCTTATTTTTTTGAAAATTACTATGTTTATTTTTTATTAAATAACGTACCAATAGTCGGTATCCGGTATTACCGGTAAGGTACGGTATTGAAAACAATGGGTCAAAATTTAATGTAGCCTATAAATAGTAAGTTTTATTATTTTTCTTATTTTGTTCTTTAAAAATCATACAACATTAAATGTTACCTTAAATTTTGGGCTTTAGTTAATTTTATTATTTAAAATTCCGGCTAAGATTTATTATGTGTGCATGTTTTTATTTTTATTTTTTTCTGAGAAACAACGAATAACATTAAAATATCGGTCTTTATATTTATGAAATCTCAATTGAAAATATAAAAAAAGTTTTAGAATCTCGGTCTTTATATTGTTCCTTTAAAAAACTATTGAATGCTAAAAATATTCTTTAAATTGCATAATCAATAAATTAATCTTAATTTTTTGAAAATTATTATGTTTACTTTTTATTAATATGCATAAAGTAAAAATAATTAATTCATCTTTAAATATATAATTTATAATCTTAATATACTATCATTTGGTAGACATTTATTATATGAATCATAAAATATTTTATTTCATAAAATTAAATATATTTAAAGAAATAAGAAAATTTCTTTGGATCAATCGGGTGATTGAATTAAGGTTGATTGAATTAATTTTATGTGATATTTAAAATAGTAAAAAAACTTGACACAACTTGGTTAGTCCCAGGTGACTAATTTATGTATCAATTTTACCAAAACAAACCGATTATTAAACCTAAATATAAATTTTAATTTTGAAAATACTTTATTACGTGAATGTGATTTAGTCTAAACTTCAAATAACCATATTAACAATACTTTTATGACAACATGTTTAATGATTTATGATCATTTATATATCATTTTATTAATTTATGTGAATTAAATAATATTTTTTTATGATGTTAATTAACGTACAGTAAATATAACGCTTTCATAACCGGATCGTCATCGAAACGATCAAGTTATTTATTAAATCATTTGTGGTTTGTTCATAGATTTTAATCTATGAACATTTTAATAAATATATATATAGCATTTCTTGTAATAACTTTAAATAAAATGTGTTACTTAAATAGCCAAAAAATTTATAAATTAAAATAATTAAACTAAATGATAGATAATTTATAAGTCTCTATTTTATTTAAATATGTAATTTTATTTAAATTTTAAATCTAGCAAAATTTATTTAGAATCGTATCAATCCTACCAGTCCAACCGACTGGTGTTGACGAATTCGATAGCAAATATTTTATTCAAGCGAACTAGACTGGTTATAAACTGGTTCTCGGTCTATTCGGTCGGACTGTGTCTAACACGATTTAATTTAAAAACAATGAATAAATCATGATTAATGTTATCTATATATTTTTTTTATAATACAATCGTAATATTGTTTTCTTATACATCGCACGGGCCACGCACTAGTTTTATTGGAATTGGAATGAAGCTTGTGATTGGATTTGCTGAATGGCCAATGTCAACGAAGCATCCGAATCCAAAATTGGTGCTAAGAATAAAACAAGCTCTATTATGTATAATGTATTATTGTTTTGATAGGTGATATAGATGTAACATTTATTTACTTATTTAAAAAATTATACTTTATATATGGATTTGTCGGTCCAAATTTTTTGTCAATGTCAAGTACATTTATTTGACATTCATTAGACAATACCAATTATATTATGTCATGTGTCATTAATTTTTCAATGTCAATGATAGAGCACTGGAGATGGAGATGCTCTTTAGTTCTCATAGATACAAAGTAATGTGTTTGTTTCATGAGTAACAAATAAAAAAAGATAATTCATAATAATAAAAAAATTATAAATAGTTATTCGAATGTACACAGACTCTCTCTCTCTATACATTGTTTCACTCCAAAATTTATATTTTTAATATTTCCATTGTACATCCACTTAAGTTAGACCTTCAAATTTCAATCCTTGATAATGGTAGCTAAAAGACTTTAAACAAACCTCTTTATTCCATCACAAACACAAGGTAACAAATTCAAGGGTCCAAGACTTTACTTGCCCCTATTAGGTTTAAATTCAAGGGTCCAAGACCTTCAATACTTAATNTTCACCAACCTCAAACAAATTGGGTGCATATCAATAATGTAGCACGGTAATATTATAATGAAAAAATGCATCGCCAGACGTGCTGTTAATCGACACTGTATTCACCCCAATGTGTCCACGCGCCAACCGGAAACCTCCCGTCCCACCCACTATTGATATTTCTCGATAATCACGCAGATATGGATTTCGTCCCTGCACATTGAGCGTGCTCCCATTATACTCTCCACCCGTAAAAACGAGGTCGAATGTCATGTGGATGCTTGTCTCTGCTATGGAGGCGAAGACAATCATCCCTTGGGCCCGGCCCACGATCTCGGCATCCAAACTGGGCCCAGTTCTCACTGGGTCATCCAGAACGGCAACAAGCCCAAAAAACGTCGGTGAAGAGGGCGTGGAATTGGCCATGGCAACGTTTATAGGTGTTGGGGTTGGGCCATGAAGCATGTCTTGAACGTATAATTGTAGTTGAGTAAATTTTTCCCCAAAGCCATTGGCTTCAGGCATGATCATTAAAATGGAAAAGAGTACAAAAAGTTTGAATTGATTTCCCATATTTGTCACTTTTAATGTGGACACACTTTGGAATTTTTTTCTTGGTTTGATTGTGATTTTGGGAATGGGCACATGAGGGTTACTTATAGTTGATCATGAAGTGCATGATAGCTAGGAATAGAAAATATTGCTCTGGTGTTACTGACTAATGTTAGACAATCGTGGTTTTTTATCATATTTATTTATTTATAATGTTCCAATGTCACGCAAATGAAACTTTTAATGTTTTATAGCACCTTTGACAATCGTGACATTTCATGTTACGAGTATATATTTTTTTATTTAAAAAGTATGGCTGCTTAATTAAAATTGCACCTTTGACAAATTAGAATAGAGTGAAATTAGATATAGCAACAAGATTTTTGGTCTAATTTTAGACATCGTTCTACAAGATTGAATATTCTTAAAAGTTGAGGTAGAGTTAAATGTGTTAAAAGTATCAAAACAAACTTTTACACGCCTTAAGATATGCAACCAAGAAATTCTATTTTTTTTTTTTTTTCAATTAAATTCAAGAGGTTCGCAACGAGAGGTGTATGAGCTCGTGATTGGGTCTTTATCGAGTATGCTCGAACGAATCAATAAACCAGCTTTAGATGGGCTTAGGTCGAACTTTTGACGAGCCGAATTATAAATAATTATATAAAAAGATATATTTTTTTAGTTTTAATTAATAAACCCTAACAAGCATAACTAAATGAGTTTAAATTCGATTTGTTCAATGTATCAAACAGTCTCAACTCGTTTAACTTTAACGAGTTGAGTTCACGTACTGGCTTTGGAATCACTTAATTAATTCATACTAAACTACAGTGTCATTCGCAGTTTCTTGTGGTTAGTGAAAAAGAGAATACTTCATTTATTTAATGTTATAAGATGTTAAACTCCGAATTTTACGTGGGAAAAAAACTTTAAGCAATGTTGAAAATACAATTGTTATTGGAATGAATCTTGTGATTGGGTTTGCTGAATGGTCAATGTCAACGAGACATCCGAATAGTTCTATTATGATTTATTATTGTTTTGATAGGTGATACAGATGTAAGATTTAATTTTCCAAAAGTCATACTACTTTATAACTGGTTTTTTCTTTTCTTTTTTCTTTTTTTTTTTTTTTTAAATCCAAGCACTATATTAATAATCATTCGTATATAGCATTCTTGTAGCCAACTGTTCGTTGTTCTTTAATTGTAGTCTAAAAGGCTAATGTGGAAACTTAATGATGTAGGGAAGCGTACGAGATAGACGATATTAATGAGATCGCAATCTAAAGAACACCAAAAAACGATAAACACCTAATTCATATTTCATTCAATAATCAACTCTCCTAATAATAAAGCACAAGAGCCCTATAAATAAGACTCTTAAACTAAACCCTAGTTTCTTCTCCAAGTTAAATAATAATAATAATAATAATAATCTACACCATCCTCCCCGGGTTCGGAAGGCTTCGCCCTCGAAGCCGATGCGCTCCCGTGATCGGCGTGTGGTGTCGAACTCATGGTAGGAAACCTTCGTCGTTTCCTCCGGTCGAACACGAAAGTTGAATGTCGCCCAAGCAGTTCAACACTCTCTTGATAGTCATTCTAAAACCAACACCTTCCCTCATGACAGTTGAAAGTCCTAAACACTTTCCAACACCTTCCCTCACTAACATACTTTATAATCATCAGAATCCCAAACTCCCACACTGTATTAATATCCCACTGCACAATTTTTTTTATCACTCGTTCCTGCTAACAAAACATTTTGTTTATCCTCATCTGGATTAAGCCTCACTACATAAGGGATCTATCCAGTCGAGAAAGGTGATATCACTTGCCCCGTCTCTGTATCTCGATATTTAATATTCTCATCTACTCCCATGTCCCTGCAAAGATTCTTCTCCGTCATCGAAGGCTCTTCATCAAAGATCGGCGGACCGTCGTACAATGGCCCGTCAACTTGTTCACTGTCGAATTCAGAGATGTCAACGCGAAACGGGCCCTCCCATTGACCATATTCGCGATCAAGTCCCCAATCATGTCGGGCACGATATCCGCTGACGAAGGCAGCGTCCTCGCGCCTGCCTTAATCGCTGCGTTGATCGTCGCCGTCAATGAAGACCGGGCCCCGTTGCCGCATGTCACGGCTGCTGTATATAGCGAAGGGGTCAGCCTTGACATGCGGGGTTAGAAAATCGTCAAAGGGATTCACCTCCGAGACTGTCTCCTCGTCGTCTTCGTCGCCGGACGGTGGTTGTGGAGATCTCCGGCGGGGCGCCCCGCCGGGACCTCGGCCTCCACGTCCTCCGCGAATTCCCCCGTGCACGCCCCGGTTGCCGGCGTCACGGTACGTTTGCAAATCCCAGATCACGTTGTCAAGCGTCATATGCAAATCCTCGATCCCCGTCGAAAGATCAGCAAACCAATCCGTGAATCGTACGTCCAACTGTTGAAAATGGTAGTCGATCTGTTGTAATCGATCGTTGAAGGTTTGCGTCACGTCGTGCGTTTGCGGCATCTTGTCGTCCCGGCGACATCGCGAATCGTACTGACTGCTGATACCAATTGATGTAGGGAAGCGTATGAGTGAGACGATATTAATGAGGTCGCAACCTTAAGAACACCAAAACACGATAAACACTCAATTCATATTTCATTCAATAATCAACTCCCCTAATAACAAAGCATAAGAGCCCTATAAATAAGATTCTTAAACTAAACCCTAGTTTATTCTCCAAACTAACTAATATTATAAATAATAATAATAATCCTAATCTACACCACTTAAATTGTAGGCTCTTAAAGCTTGATATATTAATTAGATAAAGTATTTTATAAATTATAATTAATTTTTTGTATCAACTTATGAAGAAATATTTTGAAAGTGTCTAGACAAAAATTCAAATGAGATATTCTATCTCTTGCACCACGTTCTGATATTTTTATTTTGAATTTTTGAGATATTTTGCATTTTGTTCATAAGTTAATAATTCTGTGTGGTTGTAATATTTCATTTGAATGAAAATATCTCAAAATGAACATAAGTTATTTTCAATCAATTAATTTGTATTAGTTATGAAAATATCTCAAAATGAACATAAGTTATGAACAAAATGAATTAGGTTGAAAATATCAGTGCGTTCATTTTGAGATATTTTCCATTTAACTTATGAACAAACTGTATGGTTGTAATATTCTATCTCTTGCACCACGTTCTGATATATATGCGTATTAGTTACACCTGACAGTCATTGACAATCTCGTGATATAATTAAGCTGTCTAATTGCGTTATTTTAAGTTAACTAATTAGGTCATTAATTACATTCAAAATATGACTCGTGAGACTAATTATAAAATTTTTCCAGTAATTATATAAAAGCCCTATGGCTGCTTACAATAATTACAAAGTCATTCAAATAAATACGAAGTCAAATTTCGCCTCCCCACATTAGTAGATAAATTCATTCAGATTCCCATTTAATTACACACCATCCCCCAAATTTTAACACAATTCCATTCACGCCCCTCCACAACACCCCCTCTATAAAACCCAAAACACAAACACTAAACCTACTCAAGACAATATCAACAATGGCTAACCTTATTGTGATCACCAACATCTTTTTCTTCACCTCCTTTTTCCTAAACGCCCTAGCCCACGAACGCGCCACGTCATCATGGTTCCACGTCATCAGCCGATCTGGCGGCGAGGTCTCGGCCAAGATCCACTTGTACGTGCAAGACGTCCTAGGTGGCGAAAACCAGACCGTGTACGAGGTTGCCCGAGCCTCGATCACTTCGACCTCCCCAACGAGCTTCGGGCAGGTCCGCGCACTCGACGACCTCCTGACGGCCCTGCCCGACCCAGGCTCGAAAAAAGTGGGGCGAATCCAGGGTTTGATAACGTCCGCTGACCTGGCGAAGACGGCACTTGCCATGAACCTCAACTTCTACTTCACGTCCGGGGAGATTGCGGGCAGCACCATCTGCATGCTCGGGCGGAATCAGATAGACGACCCAACGCGCGAGCTGGCGGTGGTCGGGGGCACGGGGGTCTTCCGGTTCGCGCGCGGTTACGCGATCACGAAGCTATATTCGTACGATGTGGAGACGAACCACGGAGTGATTGAGTACACGTTGTACGTGAGGTACTCGGACGAAGTAATCGAGTGAGTGATGGGTATTTCAACTCGGACGAAGTAATCGAGTGAGTGATGGGTATTTAAGTTATGAAGGTTACTTTAATTCTCTCAAGGTTGGATTTCTTCGTGTATGGATTGTGTACGAGTAAGGGAAAGTGTAATGTTAGTTCAATAGGTTTTGGTTTTAATTAATTGCATCATATTAATTGTACTCATCTAAAATCTTTTTTGGATTTCTTTTTTGTTTGTGTTGGTTATTCGTCATTTATTAGAGTTTTTTAGTTTCTACGAAAAAAGATTTGTTTTGTTTTTGTTAAGTGTGTGTTTTTCAGATTTAGGTTGCGTGCGTGGTGCAGTTTTCCTCGATTAAACTTTTTAGCTGTTCTAATTAAGTTATTGCGTGGTTTGTAATCTTTTATTTACTAATATATCTTAAAAAAATATATATATAATAGTTGACCAATTGAGATCTAACAATTAGATTCTCGTAAAAAAATATATATATCTTACGCATAACCTAGCAATATCTCTCAATCATCCATCGAAATTTTGGATCTTCGGGTCCATCCATGTCTCTACATTCAAATCATTAATACAAACTTTATCGGTCATTTTTTATATTTATACTTAAATATGTAATGAGGTTGCAATTTGAATTGTCAACAGGCAGCCAGAGATAGGTACAAAGTAATACTCCAATAACTAAAGTTGAAGATAAAAAGTCCACGAATTAGCCGCCATATAATGAGTTAATTAATTAAACCAAGTGGAATTTCAGCAGGGTACAAAGGAAGTAAAGAACACACTTTCTATTTGATCAAATCTAATGCTTAAATGATAAGGAAACTCGAAACGAGGAACGATTCAACGAGCTCAAGTGGCTGATTAATTATGTGATTATTGGTAAATATAATACAAATTAGATTATATTAATTGGTTTGAACATGCGTGTATGTACATTATCCTTCTCCAATTGTTAAACGTCAAAACTAATAAATAACAATATAAGAAACTGAAGGGGTAAGTAACTATTGATCCTCGAGAGTTAGTGAGGTTAAACCGCTAAATTAATTAGTTAGTTGAACCACTTAACCGAGTTATTAATTGCCGTTAAATGTGTATAGAACCGGAAGCGATTATTCCCGATACCCTAGCTCGTCTATCTTTTTGTCGTTTATATTTTTAGGTAGATTATCGTCTTTTGTTATTTCTTAGTTGATAATTTTCCAACCCTATCGTGATTAGAATGTGTAGGATTTATTTTGTTATTATATGTTATCGATACCAATACTAAATTCCGAACCGCCTTCCTCGAGAGATCGACCCGGGAAACGAATCATTCGATTCGGTGCTCGGTAAAATAAAAATAATTTGCTATAACAAAAGTCAAAAGCTACCTTCTCTGATACAATAGAGTTTTGTGAGGATTGAGTACAATAGTATATATATTGATTTTACACTTTTGTGGAGGATTGTGTGTGAAAAGTGTAAAAGGGGCGGCTACACTTGTTAAGAAAAAAAATATATTAAAAGTTAGGCAATTTGCCTAATTTCAGCCGACCCCCATTTGCTCAAATATCCTATAAATAGGGGAAGTTCGGGCAGAAGAAAAGAAGAGAAAGAGGGAGAGAAAAGAAAGAATATCAGTCCAAAATAATTTTGGAGGGATAAAAATATCAGAGGAAAAAATATAGAAATATTTATTTGTTATCGAAATAACAAAAGAGTGATATTTTTATTCCTATTTTTAAGTGCTCAGTTTTCGACTCCGTTCCAGTTCACCGGAGCTCTGGTGTGCTACAGATTTTAGGTCATTTATTAGGATTTTCCGGTTCATTTAGCCGTTTCGCGTGTTTTTATTGTTATTTTGGTATTTGTGGTATTTTTGTTATGTTCTTTCTATTTTTCCTTGGTTTTTGTTCGATGTGATTTCAGGTAGCTGTCCGTTTATTGAGTTTTCAAGTCACGTGGGACCCGGGGACGCTAATCGAGAGCACGAGAGCATACAAGATTAATATTGTAAGCGCCTTAGCGGCCGCTATGGTCCATAGCGGCTGCTATCCCTTTGTTGATAGCGCCGCTATAAGAGGATAACTGGGACAGAGAGGTTTAGTTCAAATGCCTTAGCGGCCGCTATGGCCCTTAGCCGCCACTAACCCAGGCTGGACTGCAACACAAAATTTCTTTTCCTCAAAACATGGCATGAGTTGGAAAGCTCAGTAGTGGAGCACTTAGGGGACAAAACTCACCTGGAAATAGGGATGGAAGGCTATAAGAACATGCTACCTTAGTCATGGAAGGGGACTGCATCTTCTTCACCATAACACTTCATTTTTTTACTTACATTTCAATTTCAAATTGAAATAAAAATGACTGAAAGAGTGTGTACTAAGTTAAACAAAAAAAAAATTCAAAAACGAAAAAACTCATAAGTAATGATTAAAAAGTCTCAAATAAAGTTCATTTTGTCATATTACATCATTATTTAATGTATATTATAAACATTTATGGTCAAAATTCAATTTTGAAACGGATGAAAAACGACTGAAAGTGTGGCACACGCAAAAATTCAAAAACGAAAAAAATCATAAATTATGGTTAAAAAGGCTAAAACAAAACCTGTTTTGCCATAGTACACCATTTTTAAGTTATATTACGAACTTTAATGGTGAAAACTCAATTTTGAGACAGTCGAAAAAACGGCTGAAAGAGAATGTATAATTGTACACTCAAAATTTCAAAAACGAAAAACTCGTAAGTTATAGTTAAAAAGTTTCAAACAATTTTTTTTTTTTTTTTGTCACAGTACACTGTTATTTAAGTTATATTACGAATTTTGATGATGAAAATTCAATTTCGAAACATTTAAATATGACTTTTCCTTTCCTTTTGAACGAGATTTCACAAATCTTGATTCCACCTTTATCTTTTTCTTTTTATTAAATTTATTATCACTACTTCTCCTCCCCCATTTGTTTCTGGCAGGTCGAAGAAATACCAAACACCACCCATCATCATCACCTGCGACACAGTGCCAATGCCATAAGGGTCGATGTGATGAAGGTGACCAACAGATCCACGAGAGCTTCTTCGCCTATGCCACGCATCACCGGTGGGGTATGTCACCCTCGATTCGAGATCTACTCCCTGTCCGACTTCTCCCGCCGTCAATGCTGGTGCCGACTGCCGCCTTGAGGCTCAACATATAACTCTTTGAGGCACAGGAATTGGTAATCGAAAAGGTGTGCTTTACTAAATTATCTGAATCCAAAGTTGTGATATAGTGATTTAGGTTTAGCAAAATTTAAGGACTGCATATGTATATTGGTGTCTTTTGTGAGGTTGTTTGCAAATCCAAGGAATAATTATCATGATTTATTTTTAATTTCTTCTTAATTTTCTTTTCATATTTGAAAAACTGATTCTGAAATCATTGCCCATTTTTATCTTTTTTTTTTTATTTTTTTTTTTTTNNNATTTTCTGTTTTCCATCTGGATCTGAAAAATTGGGGATGGAAGTCCAGTAGCCCCAGGCCCGAGAAGCAAACCGAGAAGATGACAATATCCTATGCCGCTCGACTCATGGTGTTCGACGATCTACGGGCAAATGAAAATATCATATTACGGTCGACTCATGGTGTTAGATAATTCACCGGCAGATAAGGCCTGACCATTATGTTATTCGTGCGTACCACCCACAACACAGAGGATCCCATTGCTGTTGTCGGTGTCGGCTCCCTTTGTCTGTCTTTAAATCAGTAAATAAAAAATATTAATGTTATCAAATTTGACATTATTTTTTTTAATAATATGTGTATAAACTTGATATAAACTTCAGAGAAAGATGTTTGAATAGTCTTTTAGTATGTGATATATTTAGATTTTGAACGATTTGGTGAGTTAATTAGATGTTTATTGTTGATTAGATAATTGTTATTGCTTGCTTTTTTAATATTTATTTATTTATTTATTTATTTGTGATTAGTAAAATAAATAAATAATAACTTTAAGATAAAACAAAAGTTTAAATAATTTTTAAATAAATATTTGAGATATTATGATAAATTTAAGATAAATTGAAAACAATTAAAAAAGTTTGTAGAATAAAACGAAGATCTATATATATATATAATAAGAATTACCATTTATCAAAAATAGTAGCAAAAAAAATAGGTCAGAATTTAATTCAGCCTATAAATAGTAAATTTTATTATTTTTCTTATTTTTTCTTTAAAAATCATACAACATTACACGTTACTTTAAATTTTGGGCTTTAGTTCATTTTATTATTTAAAAAATTTGGTTAGGATTTATTGAGTGTGTATGTTCTTATTTTTATTTTTTTTAGAAACAACGAACAACATTAAAATCTCGGTCTCTATATTTATAAAATCTCAATTCAAAATATAACAAAAGTTTTAGAATCTCGGTATTTATATTGTGCCTTTAAAAAAAATATTGAACGCTAAAAATATTCTTTAAATTGCATAATCAATCAATTAATCTTAATTTTTTTTAAAATTACTATGTTTATTTTTTATTAATATGCATAAAGTAAAAATAATTAATTCATCTTTAGATATATAATTTATAATCTTAAATATACTATCTTTTGGTGTAGACATTTATTATATGATTAATAAAATATTTTTATTTCATAAATTTAAATATATTTAAGAAAAAAAGGAAAATTTCTTTTGATGAATCGGGTGGTTAAATTAGGGTATTGCCCAGGTTGATTGAATTACTTTTAGGTGATATTTAAAATAGTAAAAAAAAACTTGACACAACTTGGTTGGTCTCAGGTGACTAAGTTATATATCAGTTCGACCACCCCAAATCGATTATTATTGAACCTAAATATAAATTTTATATTGAAAATATTTTATTACGTGAATGTGATGTAGTCAAACTTCAAATAATCGTATTAACAATACCTTTATGAAAATATGTTTAATCATTTATGAATATTTATATATCATTTTATTACTATTATGTGAATTAAATAATATTTATTAATGTACAGTAAATATAAGGTTTTCAGAACTGGACCGTCATCGAAACGATCAAGCTATTTTATTAAATTGTTCAGTTTTTAATTTATAAACATTTATATATATATATATATATATATATATTACGTTTTGTAATAAATTTAAATAAAATGTGTTACTTAGATATCTAAACAATTTATAAATTCAAATATTTAAACTAATTGATAAATAATTTATAAATCAGTATTTTAATAAAATATGTAATTTTATTTAAAATAATTTAAAATATAACAAATTTATTTAGAAAATCGTATCGATCCTACCAGTTCAACCGACTGGTATTGACGGATTCGAGAGCAATAATTTTATTAAAGCGAACTAGACTGGTTAAACCGGTTCTCGGTCCATCCGTTCGGACTGTGTCCAATCCGGTTTAATTTAAAAACAATGGATAAATCCTGATTAATGTTATTTATATATTTAATTTATAATACAATTGTAATATTGTTTTCCCGTGCATCGCACGGGCCACACACTAATAAATTAAAAATAGAAAATAAAATTGAGGTTATAGTTGGAAATGTGTGAAAATAATTATATTTTTGGGAAAAACACTTTACACGGGAATGAAAGTTGTGCCGCTACAAGACCCATTGAAATTCGCACCACTCACAAGGCTTCGCGTTAAGAGCATCTTCAATGCATTGGGTCTAGTCTTGCCTATGTGGCAAGTAAATAAACTCAAGTCTTAGATGACGTGGATAAAATTATGTAAAATTAATAAAATTCACTCCAATGCAAAGAGACTAGGTCTCTACTTGGGTCTAAAATGGACTTAAGGGGAGACCGGGTCTCTTTTTCGGGCTGCCGCATCAGCAGGACCCAGTCTATTTTTATTTGCATTGGAGAATATATTTTTTTGGACTGAGTCTATTTCTTATGTGGCATGTAATTTTTTGGGATTGAACCCAAAGCATTGTAGATGCTCTAAGATCGCACAAGCACCCCTCCCTTGCCAATTCCAATCAAGAAGCCCTAGCTATAAGAAGGTGGATTTCCTTATCTTTTAGTTTCATTCGCCGCCGCACAAAACGTGTCGAGGCATCCCTCACAATTTATCCCAAATTTATCACAAACACTACAATCACCTCTCAGATCCGTGAATTGGAGCCTTGTTCGTGACGTGCGACGGCAACTGGAGGACGGTTTAGAGGAGCGGCGGCCGGAGACGACTCATCAAGTGGCCCGAGCGAACAACGGCGACTTCCGACTGGTCTGTACGGCTCCGAGTTCGAGCGGTTTATTCAGATTTCGGCTCGAATTCCGGCGAACAGTAGCGGATTAGGGGAACGGAGAGGTCTCAGGCTGAGCGGAGGTGGCGAGGACGCTGTCCATAGAATTTCTTGTAGAGGCCGGCAGGCAATTGGCTACGACCTTCGACTGGTGGTTTGAGCACTATGGACACTGGAAAGAGAGCCTAAATTTCTGTCCCTGGTTTGAAGGCCTTTGAAACTAATTTATGGTATGTTCATGCTGCGCTCAAGGAATTCTATATAAATACTCAAATTTGTCTGGTTTGTTGTATGAATCTTCTATCATGTTAAGGTTTTCGAATGTTCTATAGGATTTATCAGGGCAACAAATTTTTGGTGAGGGAGAAATTGGGAATTGGCATAATTTCCCAAAACTCCACATGTTTTCATTAATTGAAGAAATGCATTAGTCACCTGGACAGCCATGTAGATTATTAGGCACAAGGAGACATTCGGGAAATTTTCCCCCAAACTTGGGTTGGGTAAAATAAGACATATATCACAAGAAAGTTTTATCAGAATTTGTTTTTTTTTTTAACTATCATAAAACTCTCTTGGAGGTGTGACAAATAAGATCAAATTGAACTATCCTGCAAACGTAAAAAAAAGTATTCAATCCAAAACCTCGCAATTTATACTAATTACACAAAGCTAAAAGAATTCTATCACATAGCACAACATCAGCAAAGCAATTTACCATTCAAGATATTTAAGAAAAAAAAATCAAATTCAGTCCTCAGCTCGTCGACATCAAACTTTTTGCTCAAAAACAACTAAAAAGCTTCTCCTTTTACATGTCATAAAACAAAATTATAACACAAGCATTGTCTAATATTGCCATGCTTAATAAGAGACATAATTAATTACATGTGTTTAATTAATTCTTGTCTATCAATTAAAGTAGTGCCCTTATTGTTTTTTTATTTTTTATTTTTTTTCTTTTAATGATAGATTAATATAGTGCGTGTGAATGTCTGTGATCCAACGGTACCATAAGAAGTTGTTTTATTATAAAATGTCAAATCTTTCACATAACCTAATAACGTTATTTTAATTTGGTGGACAATGCATGCCTTATTTTCGGTCTATAATGAATTGGATTGGAAATAGTAATGCTAATTTCATGCCAATTTCATTTTGCATGTCAGTACCATCATAACAAAATCCATATTTCACAATCAATTTCAGATTTTGCCAACTGGGCAGCTAAAGACAATCAGGACAAGGAATTTAATTCTTTGGATCTTCAACAATTACACCATCGTCGTCAGTTTGCCTCAACACCAAAAAAGTACCTGACAGCATGCAATACAAACAACATCAAGTTCCGAATTCAAAAATCACCACACAAAGACCAAACTTTTGGAGATAATATATTAAATTCCTTGTGGCCCAAAGTTATTAATATATTATTCATTTATTATTCCGTTGAAATAATATATTATTCATATTAACCTTGTGGCCCAAAGTTACCACGGGCCGCCCACCACAAAAAAGGCCCAATTTAATGATTTATCACTCGCAACTGCTGATATCAATTATCCAATCTCTCGGACTCACAGAAATATCGTCACTCACAGGCTCAGAGCACTTATCTTCCATAACAAGCGTACCTACCATCTTCTCTGCCCGTTCGGCGCACACAATCACACACTCCATCTCCGATTGCCCGGCGTCGGCGCTCTGAAGTCGAAAATCCCAAATCGCCGGGCTCTGAATTCTGAAATCCCCAATCGCCTCGGCCCTCGCTCGGTTGCTCCTGCTCCCGCACACACTCGGCAGGCCGTCACTCGACGGTGACGCTCGTCTTCTCAAATGAGTTCGAAAAAAAGTATTCTAGTGAAGTTCATAGAATTAAAGTTTGGGGGACCGAGTTATGTCCATAAACAGATGTTGTGATTTGGACTTTCAAGGTCCTGATGTCCTGATTTGGGCTTTCAATTGTGAGTTCGTTCCTTTTCGTTTATCTTTTTGATTTTCCTTTGACCTAGTGCTGACAGCACCACCATTCAAACAAAACACATATCACTGTGATCGAAAATCATCTTCCAATCCACACCCAAATCTTCTCAAATGAGTTCGCCTTCGGGCCTTTTTTTTTGTTTGTTTTTTATTCATTTTAGTTTGTTTTGGTGAGATTATTAAGTAGTATCTATTGGTATTTATAAATTTTATTTTTGTCATTTTATATTTTATTGGATAACCTCGACCGAAAAATGGATAAATTTTCGGTTTGAAACCAAACCGAATCTTTCGATTCGGTTTTCGGTTTTGATACTTAAACCGAATTTTCGGTCGGTTTGGTTCGGTTTTGACCAAATGTGCAGCCCCAGCTCGCAGTTCTAGGCGCCGGCGGCGGCGCTTCATTCAAAAGCCACAATCACAGCTGATGTGACAGTACTTTGGCATTAATGTCGGAATTGTCCCTGTTAATTTTTATATTTAGACCATAATACCTCCTTTTATACAAAAATTACATGTCATCCCTTACCTGGCTGCCTAACACCATTTTACATGTCATTCGCCGCTCGACTTCTGCTCTCTGCCGTCGACCTCCACTCTCGTCCCTCATCGAGAAAACCCCAAAGTTCGAGAGCTTAGGGAATCAACCTAGGGTTTGCTATTGTCCTCCACTCTAGGTTTACCTGATATTGGTAAAGCGTTGTTTATATGGCATCTGCTTGAAACCTTGCTAGCAGATTCTCAATTCTTTCATTGGTTGAATATGATGCTACTTTCTGCGAGCCTCTAATTCCATTTTCTCCTCAGTTTCCCAGTTGTGCCAATATTGCCAATATGATGTTACTTTGTGCGAGCCTCTAACTCCAAAAGTTTGGTCTTTGTGTGGTGATTTTTGAATTCGGAACTTGATGTTGTTTTTATTGCATGCTGTCGGGTACTTTTTTGGTGTTGAGGCAAACTGACGACAAACTTGGTGTAATTGTTGAAGATCCAAAGAATTAAATTCCTTGTCTTGATTGTGTCTTTAGCTGCTGAAATTGCTTGTGAAATATGGATTTTGTTATGATGGTACTGACATGTAAAAGGAGAGGCTTTTTAGTTGTTTTTGAGCAAAAAGTTTGATGTCGACGAGCTGAGGACTGAATTTGATTTTTTTTTCTTAAATATCTTGAATGGTTAATTGCTTTGCTGATGTTGTGCTATGTGATAGAATTCTTTTAGCTTTGTGTAATTAGTATAAATTGCGAGGTTTTGGATTGAATACTTCTTTTTACGTTTGCAGGATAGTTCAATTTGATCTTATTTGTCACACCTCCAAGAGTTTTATGATAGTTAAAAAAAACAAATTCTGATAAAACATTCTAGTGATATATGTCTTATTTTACCCAACCCAAGTTTGGGGGAAAATTTCCCGAATGTCTCTTTGTGCCTAATAATCTACATGGCTGTCCAGGTGAATGAAAACATGTGGAGTTTTGGGAAATTAAGGTTGATTTCTAAGAGCTTTAGCACCCCCTCCTCTAGTCCTTTACGCATTTGTGTTGTTGGTAGTGGGCCCGCAGGATTTTATACTGCCGAGAAGGTATACATAAGTTTCTGGATTTTTTTCAATGCATGTTTTCTACATTTTGATAAATTTCTTAGAACGAAACATGATTTCCATGACTACTAATTGAAGTTATCTCCTTCTTATGGAATTTATGAATTTTGCTAGCTTTTGAAGACACATGAAACGACAGAAGTTGATATAATTGATCGACTGCCTACGCCATTTGGACTAATCCGGTCTGGCGTCGCTCCTGACCATCCTGAAACCAAGGTCATCCGTTCATTATTTCATTTATCTATTTAAAGAAGAATGCAAATATAATGTTTGCCGAAAGCTGAGATCTGAGTGCCAATTTGGTCATATGATTATGGCGTTGGCCAGAAATTTTAAATGCTTTCAAACTTTATGATTCTCTAGGCAAGCAGTAACACAGTTGTTTGGATTTGAAATTTTTTTCCCTCAGCAGGATATGCACAACATACGCCTTTGAAATAAATGCAGTTTTATGTTTATAGATAATTGATTTATGGTGGTAGAGATATCTATTATACTGCGAGTTCCAGCTTATGGTCGAATGAGAGAGTGTCAAATGTTATATACACGAGTTCATTCTTCTTGTCATAGATACTGCTTATGTTTTTCTATTTTCTTATTATTCTCTTATGGACTCATTTCTTCAGAAACTTTGCCACAGATAGTCACGAATCAGTTTACCCGAGTTGCACGTAATGAACGCTCTTCATTCTTTGGAAATGTGTCTCTTGGATCCTCCATAACTTTGGCTGAGCTACGTGAGATGTATAATGCAGTAAGATAGTCGTCCTACACAGGATATTTGTCCTAGATAATTGTCTCGCTGTTTATATTGAATTTCCTATTCCTCTGACCCTTGATATTGTGAAGGTGGTGCTCGCATATGGCGCTGAAAGTGATAGATCTCTTGGCATTCCTGGGGAGGTTTGCATGATTACCTTAAAACGCGATTGGTGTCTTCTTAGAATTAAGATGATTCATTCCACTGGTCTTGTAATTTATGTAAATATATTATATAAGGTTTTTTTTTAATATATATATATATATATTGTTTAACTCAATGCAGGGTTTGGCTGGTGTATATGCTGCCAGAGAGTTTGTTTGGTGGTACAATGGGCACCCAGACTATAAAAATCTTGCCCCAGATCTGAAAAGCTCAGATACTGCTGTTATTCTTGGTCAGGTATATTTGATTCATGTGTTGTTTGTCATGCTTGATGGTCAAATTGAACCAAGTGGCATGATTTGGGAGTAAAAAAGAAGATATTTTCATGAAGCGATGTTTTATTGGAATGTCAAGGAAAAAAATGGGGAATTGTAAATATTGGACAAAAGGATGTTTATTTTACCACATGAGCATTACATATTTCAAGAACCCTAAGAAGAAAGTGGAAGATATTTTGCGAGGAAAGTGAGTTTTATCATGAGAAGTTTACTAGATATCATCTTTTTCTAGGATTGTCGAAAAAATGTTGTATATCACTGTATCTAATATTGTAATTATAAGTGATATGGGTTGTAACTTGTATCTATTTCAAATGTTGTTTGGGAAAGCATACATCTAATGGTCATTTTACCCACTGCACGTTCACTAAGATTGTTTCTAGTGGGAAAAGAAGCTGAGGCATGTCAATGGTTCAACAGAAAGAAGTCCAAAATGAGAGAACTTCTCAAATGTGTTGACATTGTACTTGCTTTTAGGGTAATGTGGCTCTTGATGTAGCTCGAATTCTCTTGCGGCCAACAGCGGAATTAGCAAAAACAGATATAGCATCTCATGCATTGGATGCTTTAGAAGGGAGCTGTATAAGGTTCGTGATTTGTAGTGTAACATTTAACAACAAACGGCTTTAAAGCATAATCTTCATTTATAATTAACAATTGTAATTGTCAGGAAAGTTTATTTGATTGGAAGACGCGGACCAGTACAAGCAGCCTGTACTGCTAAAGAATTACGAGAAATATTGGGTGAGTTCTTCCTTTGCTCGACAGACTTATTTATGAATTCTCATGTCCTTTACAATGAATTATGTAGTACTAATGTTACATTGGTCGAGTGATATGTTGGTTCTGATATGGTACAAGTGTACTAATTTTGGAATCCATTGATTGTCATTTGGATCTCTCTAATTAATGGAGTTGGAAATCAATGATAAGGTTTCATGTAAATCTGATACTCTCGTGCAGGAATCAAGGATCTGAGTGTTCACATCCAACCAGATGATTTAGTTACAACACCTGCTGATGAGGTGCACTTTTAACTGTTACATATGTTTACGATCATACGCAATTTAGAAGTGTCCTCTGTTGATGAGAATTTAACTAAGGGGTAGTGCCGTAGTATTGAGGTTTGGCCTAATGACAGAAAAGTCCCATTATCTTACACCCTTGGAGTCAATTTTTGTACAACATTAGTGGGGGATATTGTAGAACAAACAAACGATACATTGGAGTCAAATTTTCAATGAGTTCTTTGTAAGACTTAAGTAAGTTTTCGTAATTCTGAACGATAACTAGTTTTTTCTTGTAATTATATGGGCCTTAGGGGTCAATTTTTATAATTGTCTGTTTCAAGTTATCCACAAAACTGATTTAATGTTTTTGATACCATTACTTGGGAAAAGGTAGAAATGAAGAATAACAGGATCAGGAGGCGGGTTTACGAATTGCTCTCGAAGGCAGCAAGCTCGGGGCATGCACCTGTTCCTGGTCAACACGAACTCCACTTTGTCTTTTTCCGCAAGCCAGAGAGATTTCTTGAATCTGATGATAAGAATGGTCATCATGGTGGTGTTCGGCTTGAGAAGACTGTTCTAAAAGGTATATCTTCTCCATAGAAACTTATTCTACATTCTTACCGACAGTAGTCAGTAAGAACTAATACTTTTTCCCACATGGTTCATTTTTTATGCTGTTAGGTTACCATTTTGGAACTAGATCTGATATAATGGGAAAATGCCTAATTATTCTGCTGATGTATGGATGTGTATCATTTTGGAAAAATTAAGTTTATTCAAAAGTACAGTTGATGGCGCACATGTAAATATTTTACCCCTCTATGATATTTGTTAGCTGTCTCTTGTAGGAGATGATGAATTGAAGCAAGTTGCAGTTGGTACAGGGGTATATGAGGATGTGTCCTGCGGGCAAGTTATACTGAACTCAACATTAATATGCCTGCAGATATTCTGATATTTATTTACAATTTTTTGTTTTTCCATGGGATTTTATGTTTCGATTTAAATATTTATTGCTTCAGCTTGTTTTATGATGTATATACGAATATATATAAGTGAAAACCTTTCTAAAGTCTAGAACTGAGAGGTTGAGGTGGTTGTGTGTGTGGCAATCTGCAACCTATTTATAGGTAGACGAAAAATAAAAAGAAAGGAAATGTAAAAGATAAATAGGAAGTTGAATGGAATAGATATTTGGTTTTGTTCATACAGTGACTAATTGATCAATTGCTGGAAGGTGAATTAATCACCAAGCTTCTGTTTTTCCTTTCTTCTAACATAATTAGGTGATATTGCAAAGCAATTTTTATGTGGTTATATTTGACGGTTGCTTTGTAGGTTAGCGCTGAAGAGTGTAGGTTACAGATCAGTACTCATTGATGATTTACCTTTTGATAACTACAAAGGTAATGTAGAAACAGTGAGTGAATTTTCAGTTTCGCATTTTTTTTTATGTACTGCCTAATGAAATTTTGTCTCTCATTTTCTTTATTTCTATTCAAACTGCCTGGTCCAAAAGTTTATAGTCCAACAGGGTTTAGATTTTTATTTCTCGATTGTTTTCACAAGTTCGCTTTCTCTTCAATATATATATATATATATACATATATATATATATATATATATATATATAGGGAGTGGTTCAAATAAAAACCTCTTTTGGTGTGAGAACCGTGAGAACCATATTTGATGCTATTTTTAATTGTGTATGATGCTATTTTTAATCTTACATGGTGCTATCATTTTTACATTTTTACAAATGCTAAGTTGCTATTTTTAATAAAATACATCCTGATTAAAAATAGCACTAAATACAATCAATTACAGCACTACATACAATTAAAAATAGCGGTTCTCACGGTTCTCACGCTAGGACTTGGTTCTCATTTGAACCAAATCCTATATATATATTATATTATATTTAGATTTTTTTTACAGGAATTGTTCCAAATCACGGAGGGCGTGTATTGGTTGATGCTTCACAAGATCATATGCAATACGAGACCGGCTTATATGTGTGTGGATGGTTAAAGAGAGGACCAACTGGAATTATTGCCACAAACCTTTATTGTGCCGAGGAAACTGTGAGTGTGGAAAACTCTTCATGAAGTGAAAATGATGCTTAATAATATTTAAATGCCAAAACTACTACTCCCTCCTATTCATAATAAGTGTCGTTTTGGAAAGTTGCACACTAATTAAGAATAATTTTTTTGCCAATAATAACCCTCATTAATGAAGATAGAGATGGATGTTTTAAAAAAAAAGATGAAGAGAATATGAAAAGACGTAGTGTATTTATTAACTAAACGAGGGTAATAATGGAAAAATATGTACAAAAGATCCAAAACGGCATTTATTTTGGTTAATAGTTGATAAAGCCAAAATGACATTTAAAAAGAATAGGAGGTAGTATTTACTATTTAGGTTCATTCTATTTACAATATACCCATCTCCTTTTTCAAAATTTGAGATAAACCTTTGATGTTTGTTTTTACAAATTGCTTTCTCAAAATGGAGGTGATTGGTTGATGAATAAACATGAATCGCAAGCTCTCTGGGGGAAAATCTATAATTGGAATGGAAAATCACCT